CATGTGACAATACTGCGTAGAACTAAATACATACACAAACAACCACACCAATATCCAATTGTGTATGTAAAACCGGTTGAACCCAAATAACATAATGATTCCCACTGATGCCAATTTCCTAGTTATATATTCTTTTGGAAGATGTGATCGTAGTGGGAATTAAATCGAGCTTCAGGAAGTACATGTTATAATTGCATATATATATACTTTTCTCAAAATGAAGAATCAAGACTATAAGGAAGATTAGCTACCTATGGAGGGCTTAGATTTGCATTTAAATTTTGTGATATGTAGGGGTAGAACTGTACATTATTTTTCATCAATCTCTACTCCTTGACTACTTATATCCTAGAAATTTTTTTCTTGACAGTAGTTGCTCAGGTATGTTTGCATTTTAAAGCTTCATACCAGGGCCGGCCAGATAGCTCGGTAAAGTGCCTGCTTAGGCAGATGCAGGGACCAGGGTTTGATCCCCGGCATGTCGTGCTGACCCCGCCCCCCAGAGTGCATTGAGACATCGATTGAGACTGGGTGTGGTGGCGTGTGCCTGTAATCCCGGTGCTTGTGAGGTTGAAAAACAGTAAGATCACTATGAGTCTGATCTGTATAGTGAGACCCTGTAGACCCTGTACTAAAATACCAAAATAAACAAACAAATAAATAAATAAACTTCATAGAGCAGCCAAACCAGGTCTCTGAGCCTTGATATTAGGGCAGCAGAACTATAGTCTTCAGTGCTTGGTGCTAATGTTATTTCCTTGCTTCCTCAACCACTGGATTTTTTCTCTGCTGTTTTCCAAATGCCCTCTTACTTCTCTCCTGTTCCATTTTAGTCTTTGCTTTTTGTAATTCCTCTCTGTATTCTGTATCAGTCAGAACCTGCTATACTTAAACATTTCTCCTTCCTTGTCTTACACTAAAATATATTATTCTATCATTCCCATGGCTTGGGGGTCAGGAAGTATGGGGGTGCAAATACAACGCGAAGGAAGTTGGTTTAAGAATTATAAAGCCTCTGTCCCCTGGACCAATTACCTGATAGTCACACACACACACACACACACACACACACACACACGTACAAACACACATTTTGGAATTTTTAACTCAGTTCTGCATATCTAAAACCAATCTTCCTGGTAACCATAAAATCAGCTAGCCTTTCAGACTCCAAGGAAAAGAAAGAATGAGCACCTTCCATGTACACCCAGATCCTCTTTTCTAAATTTTCAGTCACCTCCAGTTACCACTCCTTCATTAACTCACACTGTCAATTACTGGCACGTATAAAATTGCTCCTCAGTTAGTCCTGATGCCTTCTTCTCCAGCCTCGTTCCTGCAGAAATGATTGTCCAAAGCAGTCGTGCTGAAAATCTTCATAGGACTTTGGGTCTCCACTCTGGCAATCCTACTAACTCAAAAACCTATTGATCCTGTACTGGAAGTTCTGGAAGTAAAAGAACATGGAAGATATTGTTTTTGTTTCTGTTTGTCTTGCAAATAGCCAGGCCAATATTAGTGTCCCAAGACCCATAGTAACATAATATGAACCACTTCAGTATGCACAATTCACTCTTATGGAAGTAGCATCACCATCTACTTTGAAATATTTTTCTTGAACTCTCCCCCAAAAAAGTCCCATGTCCATATGCAGGAGTTTCCCCCTCACCCCTCCTGATTGCCCAACAACGGCCAGTCTACTCTGACTCTTTGGATTTAGCTTTCCTGTGCATTGTACATAAATAGAGCCCTACAAAAAGACAAGGCCTTCCTTGTCTATATTCTTAGGTGGTATTTCTGTTTTCTTCATTATTCTGTTTTGTTTTGCTTTTAGTTTTTGAGATAGAGTCTTGCTATGTAGCTCTTGCTGTGTACCTTGAACTTACTGTGTATCCCAAGCTGACCTCTGACCCATAATCCTGTCTTAGTCTCCTAAAACCTGCAAATACAGGTATGTGCCACTTTGTCCAGCTCTTAAATACTATTTCTGAGATTTTTAAAGAATTTCTCTCCAATGTTTGAAAAATTATGAAGTGATCATCAAAATACTATCGTCAGATGTAAGGTAATAGGTTAGGCAGGATTGGATCAGGACCAAACTAATAAGTGCCTTTTGGCAGGAAAATAATGATAACTTTTAAAACACGTTTGCTATGTCAGTTCAACTTCCAACGCACCCTAAATCTTTTGGGCTTCTCTCCACAAGACCACTATGTCAATCTCTTTGTCTCTACCTGAATTAAGATCACCATCTTTGGGGCTAGGAGATAGTTCAGTGGTCTAAGTGCCTGCTTGACATTTGTAAGGACCTGGGTTCGATCCTGAAGGACCTGGGTTCAACCCCCAGTGCTGCATGCTGTGTCAGCCCTGAACTCCAAGCACATCTTGCCAGCCACACAAACTGTGTGTGTTGGTGTATGCCTGTAATTCGAGAACTGGGAGGCTGAGACAGGAAGATTACTATGAGTTTGAGTTACAAGCAAGATCCTGTACAAAATAAATAATTTGAAAAAAATTAAAAAAGCCACCATCTTTTACTTTATCTTCCGCTTCCAGATTTGTGTTCGGCAGGCTGCTGCACGTCATTTAAAATGCTACATGCTCCCCAGAACCCAGATCTCTCTGAATCCTTGTCTGACCTCCTCTAGGATTCTTATCTCTGTGGATATACCATCCCTTCTGCCTAGAACTCGGGTTCCGGGTTCAGTTAAGCTGTCCCCCCAGGGGTACAGTGTTGACTATCTCACCTTATAAGAACTTCATGTAGCACAGGGCTACATTGTGTTCTGACCACAACCTCTATCATCACCTGCTCTCTCACATTTCTCCTTATTCTTCACTGTTGTTTTCTACTAAAGAATCCAGAGCTGCAGTAACTACAGTTTCAACTTCAACTACATGATGTTTCCCTTGCCCCAAAATGCATTAGGTCATTTTCTAGTTCCAGGCATTCGACACAAAAGCCAACAAGGCAGAGCCACAAGAAACATACACCTGATTTCCACGACAAATATGCTAATGCCATATGAGTTGGTAGAGCCACATTCTATATTGCTACGTGGACCTATGCAGCAACATGAATTGGAATAGAATGGAACCTTTCCCCTGTTGGCAGAGTCACCCCCAAGGAATGGCGAGATCAGTACTCAGGCCAGCTGATATGATACAGCCAAATCATTTCTAAATGAAATCATAATTGATGCCGAGTAAAGGTGCTGTGTATCCATTAAAATACGGCCTATCGAGGAAATAAAGTGCAACTGAAACCTTAAAAAAAAAAAGAAAACCATAATCCACACAGACGAGAGCTCTTGTTTCTTGATCAACGCCCCTCTGCTCAAACCAGATCAGGTAGACAGTACGTATAGAGGAAGTATCTGCTGGATATATGGATCAATCTAGACATGACTGACTTCATAGGAGAAGAAAAAAGAACCCAATCCCTGAGACAGTGTCATTAGTTGTTACTTGAGAGAAAAGCATACTTCACCCATCAGCAAATGCTGCATGTCAAAGTAGGGTGTAGAACCCTCACCAGTCTTCTTAGATATTGGACACTGACACCCTTCGTTATTGGATGTCGTGATAGAAAACAGCCACAGGGACTTGTGCTCACCGGCACTGCATTATAGAATAATGAAGCAGGAAAGAGCAACTGGAGATTTCAGGTCACTGCTTTTAGAAATGTCACCCAAACTAGGGGAAGGCACAATTGTGAATGATGAAAAAACTTTGGAGTGTTGACAATCAGACTCTGAAATACCCATTGACATGAAGAATGGTTTTGTTCACACTCACCAGACCTCAAATTCCATTCATACCCTCAGAGAGTCAAGTGTCTCTGAGTTCCCTAGCAGCGTAGGAAACCCTCAACGTTTCTTCTTAAATAAAGGAAAAAGTGTTTCTTTATGAAATAAGTGAGCCTGCTTACTGGACAGGTTGAAAGATACTTTATTACTGAATCAGTTTATACAAACTCTAACATGAAAATAATGAGTCACAGAATATCAGTATATTTACAATACTTTTCTGGTTTTATTTTTTTACAAATTTTTTTTACAAGATTACTTGTCTCTAACATGACAGACATACACAGAAATCAGACTTTTTATTCCATACATAAATAAATATTGACTTTAAATGAGCACAAGAAGAAACATGATTTCTACAGGTCATTTGGATGAGCAAGTACCATTTCTCTAATCTGAACACTACAATATATTTAAGTAAAGGAAAAAAAATAATAACTTTATATAGACCTCTGTTAATCACTCTGTAAATTGTATAACTTGCTAATATTCAGTAGCGGTAAGACAACTTGGGGAGTCCACGCCTGGCATGAGACACATAGCCATGCAACACCATAGGGAAGACGCCACATCTTCATAGGTTTGTTTACATCTTAAAATGAACTTGGAAGTACATGCAGACACACAGCCTGTGTGTTCTGGCTGTCGAGAGTGTGAATATTCGCCGAACAAGATTTAGAGTTGTCTGTAATCACAGAAGTGATGAAACACAAGTTCATGGTCACAGTGTACGAAAGAGCATCAAATAAATAAGTTGACTTTACACATGGCATTTCGGGCTGAGTAATACTTCTGCTTGCATGGATCAGAGACAAGATGGAATTCAGTCTTTCAGCGACAGTGATTTCAGGCTTTTTGGGGGGACATAAAGGACAAAAATAAGGTCTTGGAATTTAAATGGATTAAAGTGTTGGCTGGGATTTTTCCAGGGATGGTTCCCTTGCAAAAGCCAATTTTCGTCTCTAGTAAAATTACTCTTCTGCACTGGTTTTTAGCTGGTGGTTCCCATTTCCTTGGGGCAGGGAGAAACACTTATGGATACTATTTTGTGGTTGACACAATTTGGGGAAGGGCAGCAGGTCGACAGAGGTCCTGAGATGCTGGTGAATTTCCCACAATGCCCAGATAAAATATATTAGAGAATGCAGAAGCAAAGCTGTGTTAAAAAAAATGGTACTCACTTGCCTAAATTTCAAAAAATTATTATTGCATTTTTATCATTTGATTAGTATTAGAGATTATTAAAATTCAAAATGGAAATACATCTTTCATTAACTCAGTAATAGAATTTTTCATCTCAGAACACTAAAACATTTTTCATTATTATATCCAAATCAGACGCTCTTAAAAGCTGTTTAGGATTTCCTAATGGGCGCTATTCGCTTCGGAGCCATCTCTGAGCTAAAAACATATTTACTGAATGTCATTTACCCAGACAAAAGAAACATAAATTTTATAAAGTTAAATTTATAGGATAATTTAATAATATTTTGTGTCTAGGTACACCCTCCTGCATTTAGAGCTGCACAATAGCGCACAACCCCACTGGCACATTTAGATTTGTTGATGAAAAAGTAAGGTAAAAGATAAAACATATAGCCAATAACAGATTGTAAGTTTTGAAATTTTAAGAACCTGAAGTTCAAAGACTGGTGCTAGCAGAGGAAGGATAGTAGTTTCAGATCTCTGTGATGTTTGGTTGGGTTGGGGCTTCACCCATGACTGCATTCTCCATTCACGTTCTTAGAAGCAGGCACTTAGCCCACACCACGCTGAGACCACGAAGCCCACAGTCATGGGCCCTGGGAGCCACTCAGTACACACCGGGACTTCCAGTCTCTAACTTCTACCACTTTCCTTTTTCTAAATACTTCAACATACAGGAAAGAGTTCTTTCTCGATAGCTATACCATCTCTCCTAAAGATCTGTGCCAACATGATGACCAAAGGAGCCTCTCCCTCTCTTATTTTCCACCTATATTTCTTTAAACACTACCAGAAGGGCTCAGGGAGACTCTGAATTGAGATGGAACCGCTGTTCCCAGGAACTGTCAGGCATGCATCCGTCTGCATCCTAGAGACAGCAAAAGGAGAAGAAAGAAATCCTCTCCGCAAAAGCTAAAAATGACCTTACTGGCTTTCTCCCTCTTGTACTTGGTTGATGGAAAAATATTGAAGCTTTTCTTTTCCACTGATTCACTTTGATAAATTGCTCTTTTCTTAAGAATCTCAATGTGGTTTGATGGGGAAAATATATTACATTTATTAACTTTGGAATAAGTATATTTTTACTCACCACCAGGGAAATGTGAAAACAATTTCTTTAGTGATTCATATATATATATCACTAAAGAAATGTCTCTCTGTCTATAATTATGTGCATGTAGACTTGCACTACATTTATATGCATGCACACAATTATAAGTGTACAGATACATCTATGCATGTTTAAAACTGTACACAGGGTCAGTCTCTCAAGAAGAAAATAACTAGATGAAACTACACACGTCTGTGGCTAGCTTGCCCGAGAACACAATTCAATACCATATGCTGATAACACATTTTGACCATTGCAATGCTCCTGCACAATAAGGAATTTTTCAAACAATAACATTTAATAGATTTGAAAGAGTACAGTTTGAATTAAAGGACTACAATCATTCATGTAAAAAAAAATCAAAAAGTCATTTTGTTTTTATATTACTGAGAACACTATATCACGGAAATAACTTCCTCAGATGAAAAAAAAAGCAAATCTTAAAGGTTTGAAAACGCCCAGGGGTTGTGATTCTTTCACTTGAAGCAGGTAGCTTTGTGAATTTTCAGCTGGTGAAACAAAACACATCCACAGCTGCATGGAGACGGACTATAAATAAGGTAACAGATTAGGAAAATTTCTCAGATTGAATGGAGCATTTAAAGGTATCCCCAGCACAGAATTTCCATTTCAACTAGGTAAAATTTAGTTAGGAGCTGACGCACTGTGTACCTGGAGTTTTGGGTGTTTTGTAGGTAGTAAATGATAGACTCATCTGTTTTCCTTTGTATAAAAAGATGCTAAGGCTGCTTAAATAAGGAACATGTTTTTAGATTAAACTTCACGGGTATAAATCAGATTATATATTTTCATTTAAAAAAAAATCACCTATGATAAAAAGACTTTAAGAAAGAGTGATAAAACAGTACCCAAACTCCATATAATCTTAGTCGACTTTGCAAACCGAAACAGTAATTTAATAAAAAATATGGTTTGTTGATTAAATATATATTTAGTATGTGTGTAAACTCTTATTTGTTACTCTACTCTGTTGTAAGAGCTTGCTGTTCAAAATTCAGGAAACTCTCCATTCTGCAGAGATTGAAAAGAAATTAGCAAAACCAGCGACAGAAATTCAGAGTTACATAGACATCTTCTTCGTTTTTCTCCTCTTCGCTAGGGAAGCAGTGCCCACCTGCACTGGGTCACGACTTGTCCCATGTTTCCGGATGCGTCTGTAATTGGCAGAAGTACTCACTGTGCTCGGTCTCTGAGAAGTCCCTACCATTGCAGAAAGACACGTGTCTAGGGGCTGGAGTTCAGCAAGCGTGCACATCCGGGTAAATGTGGAGACGGGCTGGGTGTGGTTTAGTATCTTTCAGGAGCGGGCTTGTAATGGTGTGTATGATGATGCTTCAGATGGGGTCCTAACAGGGGACAAAAGGCATCAGTCTTACCCTTTATACATGGAACAATGAGTGGGATCCCAACTCTGTGTAGTGACAACGTTAGACCCAGTCGAGTGTTCCCTTTTACAACAGGCGGGATTTGCTATTTAATACTCTCCATCAGCATGTGAAAATGCATACTTCTGTGGCAAGCGCAAGGGCCTGAGTTCAATCCCCGGTTCCGCCCC